CGAGTTTGTGTTAACCGTGTGGCAGATCCACTCCTCTGGCTCATTTAACTCCTTCATGGGCCTGGTGCACTGAGGAGCCGGGATCTTGAGTGTGTGCCATCATCCCAGGCTTCCTAATGTGCAAGCACACACCCGCCGCGATGTAGCAGACTCCCGAAAGGTGGGAAACGGCTTGTGGAGTCCAATCCCTGCATCCCTGCAGAGGGCCAACTGGGACTCAAACCAAAAATGCCCCCAGATTTTTATACGTTATTTCATCCAGGTTCTCTCTCAGTCATTTCACCCCAGTGAGAGACTAGGTCCCCGCGAAAGGCTCCACGTCTTTAACCAGACCACAAAGCTTCCAGGTGAAGCGGTGGTGCTCCCCTCAGCTCACCTGCTGGGGACTCCTCACTCTGAGCCACCGTGTCAAGTTCATGGGGTCAGACCCAAGGTGTTGCAAGGCCTTCCTCCCCACCTGCCATGCTCGACTTTATTCCAGCAGCCAGAGCAGAACAGGGGGCACTAGTCATTAAAATTTCAAAAACCCCGGAGCCATGGAAGGGTGACTTCTGCGTGTGTCAGGATGGATCTGTGTTCCAGAGGGCTGATGTTTTAGAAGTGGGTCACCCGGCCTTGTCCCAAAGTATCTCTTGGGTGGATTACAACCTCCAATGTTTGGGAGTGGGTGACTGTCTAGAAGCTGAATTCCAGACATTTTTTTCAGAGATGCCTCTCTGGGCCGAACCTTCTACTTTCCAGTTGGCACTCAAGTGCTTCTGAGAGGTGGTGGGCAGGGGACGGCGTCTCAGTCCACCATGAGCTCTCCACGAAATGCGTCGCGTGGGTGCAGAGAACGAGGAAGTTTGTATCTCACAAAAGGCCTTTGGTCAGAAAAGCAAGTCTATGGACAATATTTGGTTTAGCGCCCCTGTGATTGAAGTACAGCTACTGCCAAGCAACAGTGATGCCCAGCTTTGATTATCCTTTTGATAACATATATGAGGGTACCCCCCATAAATGGATTTTTTTTCAAAGCTATGTATTTAAATTTTTTTTTACAAAACAACCTTGCTACCTTCAAAGTACTCTCCATGACACTTAATCCATTTGTCAAATCTGCAGTTCCATTCTTGGAAACATTGTTCAAGCTCATCTGTTTGGACAGCTGAAAGCACCTCCCTCATTTTTTCTTCACCTCTTCTACATCGTCAAATCACTGTCCTTCCATGTCCCTCTTCATTTGAGAAAACAAAAATGAGTTGCACAGAGTGAAGTCAGGTGAGTCAGGTGCGTAGGACAAGAGGGACATGCTGTTATTTGCCAAAAGCTGGTGCACTGAGATGACTGTGTGAGCAGGTGCATTGTCCTGGTGGCAAAACCAGTCCCCTGTCTGCCCCAAATAAGGCCTCTTTTGTCACACACTGTTACTCAATCTTTTCAGAACCTTTAAAAAGAAAGCTTGCTTGATTAACAGTGTGACCTGGTGGAACAAACTCCAAATGCACTAATTTTCGACATTTTCATCTATTCGGGAGATTGACAGACGTCCAGAATAAGGTTTGTCATCAATTGGCATCTCACCTTTTAGGAAAGGGAAAAAACTATTCGTACGCTTGAGTTTTTCCCATAGCACTGTCCTTGTAAGCTGTGTTCAACATCACAACAGTTTCTGCGGCATTCTCTCCCACCCCCACCCCCACCCTGAGCAGGAAACACAATTTCACAGCCACACACTGTTCTCTTAAATCAGCCATCACAAAAATTGAGGTCGTAGTGAAACTGCTTTTACGAAAAAAATTAATTGTGACCAGAGAGAATCTTCCCAGGTGACGCCACTGGTTGCACTAACTCAGAGCAAGGTGCTCCATGTTCAACAGAGGAAAATACTTACACCGAAAGCTCTGCCCAGTGGAGCTTTTCCAGTTTTGGGGGGTACCCCCTTGTATTCAGCTGGAGTCAGGATGCAGGTAACTCCTTCTGATTAAATACTGCATACATCGTTCGCCAATTAACAACCCTGTACTGACTGGAGATTTGTGTGACAGTCAATAACTTCTCTTTCATAGAACTCTGGTGTAAGTTTTTTTCTTTCTTTACAAAGCCCACCCCAAAGCACCTCTTCTACTAAAGAAGAGCCACGCATTCTAAACACATGCCTTATTTACTAAGAGATGGGTTACAACCTTGCTCCCATGTGCAAAAAGTAGCCCATTCTAAAATGAACTGAAGCAAGCAGTGGCACCTAGTTCATGCCAAAACCATTTTTGGTCCAGTTCATCCCCAAGAAGGACCACAACAAGTTACAGGGTCCTGATCAACCCTTTAGGGTTGGCGGGCTCTACCTACTTCCTTGGGCACTGCCCTTCTTCTAGTGAGTCTGCATCCCCCCTTGGGTGGAGAGCTAATTCCTCTGACCCCCAGGACCCAACCTTTTCAGTATGTAGTCAAATTCCTTGAATGAAAGCAGCATGTCTGTTGATTCAGTTAAGCAGCCACTGGGGAGAAGGACGAGTAGAGAAAAGCCCTCAGAGCACATGTGCCTAACCCAAGGATAAGCCAACAGGTATGAGACCAGGTGTCCCCCCACATGGAAGCTTGATGGAGTCAGCTCCTAGCCTGTGGATCCAGCCACGCATTCCTCCCTTAGCCCTTCCTCCCTTCTGATTCTCTCGGGAAGTAGAAGGGTTATTTAGAACCTCTCTGGCAAGACAAAACCTACAGTCGAATCCCCCTGAAGGAACAAGCTTTGCAATATCAAACCATAAACCAAATCAAACCAAAAGCCAGACTCACTGCCATCGATTTGATGCAGCTCCTAACGCCCTGATAGAACTGTGCCCATGGGTTTCCAAGACTGCAATTCTTTGTTTCCCAACAGTTTTATTGCCCTATAATTCATATCCCGCACAATGTAATAGGTCAATCACGTCAGTAAGTTGTACAATTATCACCACATTCAATTTTATAACATCGTCGTTAGCTCCCCATTGCCCCCCAACCTCCCCTGCCATACCCACAAGGAACCATTCATCCAGGCACTGTCTCTATAGATATGCCTATCCTGGATTTTATATACAGGAAAACATGTGACAAAAAAACCGAAAGCTAGCAAGAGGAATGAAGTAATACATATAAAAAACCTCAACTGAAAAGATAGCAGAAAATGTTAAAAACCAGAACAAATTTAAGTGGATCCTAAGGGTGATCAAGTGATAGGGCGCTAAATTTTAACCTAACCGCATCTGCGACGATCCACTTTCCAATGTGTTCTGCACGGTGGCAAGTCTATTCACATCCCTGGTGGTGGTCTTGAACTGCGGACTTTGTGATTAGCAGCCAACTGCATAACCACTGTGCCACCAGAGCCCCTTGCTGTCAGGCCAGGGTTATCATTAATATGTTGGCTGGGGTAGATGAGTCAGATAGGCACCGCAGGAGGAGCGATCCTATACCCAAAACCCATTAACCCATTGTTGTCTTGTCAGGTCTGACTTGCCCTCTTGTCAAGCCCTGTAGGATAGAGAGAACGTCCTCGTCCCATTTCCAAGGCTGTAAGTCTTTATGTGTAGTGCCTGTCCATTTGAAGCACCAACCTTCCAGTTCACAGTGGGGCACTTAGCCACTGTCCTGCCAGGGCTTCATATCTCCCAAGAAAGGCATTCCAAGCCAGGCTTTCCAAAGACATTTTACTTATCAAACAAAATCTGCTTATGCACAATATTTGACTTCTGATAGACGACCTCTGGGATGCACAAAACTGCTTACAGATGGAAACAATGACTGCCGGACAGTATTGATCCCCAGCTTTGGGACTGTTGCCCGTATGCAGATGGTGCTTTATATTTTGAATGTCTCAGCCCCGTTAGTGACCTTGGCCCAAGCCTGACCTCGTCCTTTTGAAGCCCAAATGCCAAAGCTGGGCATGATGTGTGACAGGAGAAAGCAAACTCCAAGTGACAGGAGACCCGGCCAACAGCAGGGTCACCAGCTAGATTATTCTCCCCATGGAGTGAGAGGCGCAGAGGGTGGCTGTGGGCCACATGCAGTGTCGTCCAGCCCGGGGGCTCTTTCAGTGACTCGGCAATATCTCAGGCTGGGAGCCCTGGGCCCTCATCCTCACGCTCACCTCTACATTCAAGGGTGGATGACGTCAGCTGTACTCCTTACCCTCCATCAACGAAGCAAAAGTTGTTCCAGAAATCCCCCCAGGAAACTTCTTCTTGGGGCTCACTGGTCAGAACGGTGGCTCCGTGGCTACTGCCAGGGAAACAAACTGGAAAGCCAAGGGTTTGTCAGATCCGCCCTTATAGTAGAAACTTGCAAGACTGAGCGTGGGCTGTGTGTGTGTTGGCCAGCGGGGGTCCCTAAAGAGACTACGCTACCAAGACATTGTTCTGATTTTCTCCTGGAACAGTCGACCAAACTGAGCACCAGAAATAGGGAGTGACCTGCCCAAGATGCCATGGCCAGATGAGGTTCTAGACCAGAGCCCAGGTCTCTCGGCCCCCAATCCCAAAAGCTACTGAGTCTCTTTGATAAGCGGTGAGGGAGGGGAGTCTGGCTTTGGAAAAAGATCACGGGAATGGGGATGATTTAACACAACTCACGTCATCGAATTGTACAGAAGAAGGGAGTTGCTACATTCACAGGTCGCAAGAAACGGGGAAATGTGCCCGGCCATCATCTGACAGGGTCTGTGAAGGAAGTTATGCTGAGGGAATAGACTATCATCTGGTACATGTTATTAGACATAAAAGTGTCTGTGGTGTACAGGGGTGGGGACATGGTTTCCATTTGAATTCTCGTTCCTGGGCCCCCACCTATCAGAGATGCTTCCTGGAGTTACAGCCCCCCCACCCCTCCCAAGCGCCCTATGATAAAGTAGACTCTCTCTTATTCTGCAGCCCATGTGCATTATCCTGGCACCCAGTGAGCACCACAAATGTGTACAGTCTTTCCACGCCCTTGTTAACGTGCTGTTCTTGTCTTCTGTCCCCTTCTGCCGTCGGACCAAACAGAAGTACTCTGCTGTCTCTCTCTGCAACATCTCCACAGAAGTCCTGAGAGTCATCAACGCCACGGAGGAGTTGATCGCCGAGTCCGCAGGGCCCTGGGAGTCCCCGCCAGCCCCTGCGGACCGGGTGAAGGGCACGTTTCCTCTTGGGACGGACAAAGCGCACCTGGATGAGCAGCTGACTTCCCTGGAGGAAAATGTAAGTGGGGCGGGGG